TCATCATCATCATCATCATCATCATCATCATCATCATCATCATCATCATCATCATCATCATCATCATCATCATCATCATCATCATATTATTCTTCTTCTTCCTCCTCCTCCTCCTCCTCCGCACGCACGCATCCAGGAGCTCCCGTCGCCCACGCCTTCGACGAGACGCCCTGGCGAAGATACGCAGCAGCCCGCACTTGCGGACAAGAATGCGGGCGCGGGGTGGGTCACGGGTGGGTCGCGGGTGGGTCGGGGGTGTGTCGCGGGTGGGTCGCGGGTGGGTCGCGGGTTGGTCGCGGGGTGTGTCGCGGAGTGTGTCGCGGGTGTGCCGCGGGTGGATCGCGGGTTGGGTCGCGGGTGTGTCGCGGGAAAGTTGCGGGGGGGGCGACGACAACAGCAAGCAGAATCCGCATCGCGGAATCCCACTTCAGCCACGCACCTGGAGATGGTATAACACCGCTCGGCTCCCTCCCTCTGACCCAGAGCCCCGACGTCATGATTTGTTCATAACGTCGGCCCCCAGAAATCTCGACCCTTTCCCTGGGACCAGTGTTTCATCCCGAGTGCTTGTTTGACGGCCACAGGGCCCGGCGAGGGCCCCCCAGAGGCCGAAAACAGCGATAAACCTCCCGTCGTGATTCTTGTCACGACTCCAGGGGGTCTGAGGACGTCCGGTGCCCCCCCGAGCTGAGGAGGAGCGTGAAGCCGGCGGCCCAGCAGAGCACCACGAGCCGAGGAAGAGCCCAGCAGCACACCACGACTCGATCGGGGATCTTCTGACTCGGGTCGATCCAGACCCGGGTCAGCAAGAAACCCAAAAACTGCAACGCAAGAAAAAAAAAAACTGCAACGCAGGTTTTCGCAAACACGGGTCAGCCAATATGCGCGGCCGCCTCGCGGCCACGAGCGGCTCGCAAAACCGGGTCAGCCAGAGGGGGTCTTCGCAGGATCCTGCAAGATCTGTCGCTCTGGCTGACCCCCGTTTGCATTGACCCCCGTCTCGAGGCTCCCGACTCGAGGGGGTCTGGGGGCGTCCGGTGCTCCCCCCCCCCGGCGGAGGCCGCGCGCGAGCACGGCCGAGGCATCGCCGCGGCGTGGAGCCTCCCGAAGTCCTCCTGCTCCTCCTCCTCCTCCTCCTCCTCCTCCTCCTCCTCCTCCACCTCCCTCAGGGGACGGCCCTGAGCATCAGTCCTGGGGGTCATGCTCTAAGCCGAATCCACTCTGGGGCGTTGCAAACTGTCGAATGTAAGCTAAGCCCCTATGCAAGGGATGTTATGCTCCCCGCGGGCGGCTCATGCACCTGTCAGGAGGGGGGGGGAGGAAAAGGAGGAGAGAGGGGCGGCCTCGCTGAAGAGAAGGCGAACCTGTGGAGATTGCCTCTTGGAGACGCAACTGCTGGCCGAGGGCGGCCGGCCGCAAGGGAAAAGGGGATGGGGGCAAGGGAGGAGAGGGAGACGGGGGTCGGTCGGCGTCGTTCCCAGGGGGTTGTCGGTCGTGCGGGTCGTGGAGCCTCCCGAAGTCCTCCTCCTCCTCCTCCTCCTCCTCCTCCTCCTGTTCCTCCTCCCTCCTCCTCTCCTCCATCCTCCTCCTCCTTCCTCCTCCTCCCTCCTCCTCCTCCTCCCTCCTCCTCCTCCTCCCTCCTCCTCCCTCCTCCTCCCTCCTCCTCCTCCCGTGGCTGTCCGCCCCTCGTGCCGCCCCCGAGCTGAGGAAGAGCGTGAAGCCGGCGCCCAGCAGAACACCACGAGGTGCGGCCCCCTGCTGTAGGCGCCCGGGTGTCGGAGCGCCCCGCCCTGGAGCAGGCTGGCCTCCGCGACGGGGGAGGAGGTGGAGGGGGAGGGGGAGGAGGTGGAGAGGGGAGGGGAGGAGGGGGAGGGAGAGGGAGGAGGAGGAGGAGGAGAGGGGAGGAGGAGGAGGAGAGGAGGGAGGAGGAGGAGGAGGAGGAGAGGAGGAGAGGAGGGAGGCCAGGAGGAGGAGGGGGAGGAGGAGGAGGAGGAGGAGGAGGAGGAGGAGGAAGAGGAGAAGGAGGAAAGGGAGGCAGAGTCGGAGTCGGAGTCGGAGGAGGAGGACCAGTGCAAATCCAAGACTCATCAACGATAATACAATCAACCCTCCCTCCAAGTTCCCACTTCAGAGTCTTCTACGTGGATTCATTTGCATTGGGGGAAATGCCCCGTTGGAGGACAACCGTCTGAAAATCTGGAATTGTGCCAGAACGCCACTCCTTGGATTTCAACGCCGCGAATCACCGTTGCTGTTGCTTCTGCACGATCCTGAATCGTGCCAGAACGCACTTCCTGGAATTTCACCACCGCGAATCAACGTGACTATTGCGCCCCGACGTTCCGACATCGTGCCGAAACACTCTTTCTGAGACGTTAACCATGAGAATCCTTGACCCTTGCAAAAACCTGAGACAAATGGGCGCGGCGCTAACGCGAGAGCCACATTTTGGAAAGGCGCCACCCTCCATCCGTGAAGCTCTTGCAAACTTCGAAGAATACGAATGCGCGCAACGCCGAAACGAGAACTGTCTTGAAAACGGACCGCCCTTCATCCGTGAAACTCTTGCAGCTGTTTACAATGAGCGTGCGCGGTGCTAAGCCACTGCCACATTGTGAAAACGGGCCGCCCTACATCCGTGAAACCGTTGCAAACGTCAAGCTTCAGGATGAGAACTATGAGGAAGTCTCTAGCGAAACGCCCGACCCACCCTTTCGACTGGCCTTGGGGTGTGACAAGGAGGAATTCTCAAAGAAAAGGAATGGAGGAGGAGGACGAGGAAGAGGAGGAGGAGGAGGATGAGAAGGAGAAGGAGGAGGAGGAGGAGAAAGAGGAAGAGGAAGAGGAGGAGGAGGAGGAGAGGAGGACGAGGAGGAGGAGGAGGAGGAGGGAGGAGGAGGAGGAGGAGGAGGAGGAGGAGGAGGGAGGAGGATCGCCCCGCCCTGGAGCAGGCTGGCCTCCGCGCGCTCTGTGAAGAGCCAGGCTCCCGAGGCACCGCCGATCTCGGGGCCGCGCGGCGGGAAGCGGCCGAGGCGGCGCATGGCATCGATCTGCGCCTGCATCTCCAGCGGGACGAGGGCGCTCCAGCCACCGAGGGGGGAGGAGGAGCAGGAGGAGGAGGAGGAGGGGGAGGAGGAGGAGGAGGAGGAGGAGGAGGAGGAGAAGGAAAAGGAGGAGGAGGAGGAGGAGGAGGAGGAGGATGGGAGGAGGAGGGATGAGGAGGCGGATGATGATGGTGATGCTGATGCTGATGCTGATGATGATGATGCTGATGATGATGATGATGATGATGATGCTGCTGATGATGATGATGAACATGGTGATGATGAGGAGGAGGAGGATGACGAGGAAGAGGAGGAGGAGTAGGAAAAGGAGGAGTTGGCGGACGATGGTGATAAGGAGGCGGAGGAGGAGGAAGAGGAGGAGGAGGAGGAGGAGGAGGAGGAGGAGGAGGAGGAAGCGGAGGAAGAGGAGGCGGAGGAGGAGGCGGATGTGTAGGAGAAGGAGGACAAGGAGGAGAAGGAGGAGGAGGAGGAGGAGGAGGAGCATTTTCATTTTCCGCTGCACGCTCTCAAGCCTGGGGGTGCACCCGGTGGCCGTCGAGCACGGCCACAAACCGCTTTTGCGCGCAAGTGAGGCGGCGCGCAAGGCAGCTGAACGCACCCAACCTGTAGGCGACTGCAGACCACATCCCGCCGCCCAATTGACGGCGGCGCCGACGCCTGCACAGAACGAGCTGTACAGGCCTCGTTGCGACAGGGCCTGCCCCCTTGGCTCGGCCAAGAGACCATGCCCAAGACGCGTCGGCAACTGCATGAGGCCGCCCAGGGAGCCACTGTCGGGGAGATCAAAGCTGGACCTCCCGCGCCCCGACGGCGCAAGCACACGATGCGTCCGCCTCGCTGGGCCGACAGGGGAGGACCCTCGACCCTGCAGGCATCCAGGTGGACGAGCGCCCAGCGGGAAAGCATTGAAAAGGACGGCTCGAGACGGACCGAACCTGCTGACCAGCTCGGCAGCCCCACTGTGCAACGGTCGCCGCAGGGGGAGAATTGCCTCCAACGCCCCACAGCCGTGCAAATAGGGGGGAAAGGTGGACGCACGTGCAGCAGTGACAAAGGACGGCCAGCGGTCCCAGATCGAGCCCGCCGCACAGGTCCATGAAAGAGCCTGCATGATAGAGACTGCAGGCTGCTTGTCGGGGCAATGCCTGGTGGCCGTGCGTCGCAGGAGCCAGAAGGCTGGACCCATCAGCGATCAAGCGAAAAGGCGCGCCACACTTAGTGCATCGGTGTCCAGCCGAGCTGAGTCTAGCTTGGGATGCTTGCCCGAGGTGATGCGCTGCCAATATTATTTTTCTGATTTGATGCAGCGGGGCCTCCCAGGTCATGGCTAATGAAAGTTACGGACGTACCCTCCTGAGGCAACGGCCTTGCACGATGGGCACGCCGCGAGCGCGCTGCCGTCTGAGCAGCGTAAGGATGGGCAATGGTGCCCTAGCTCCTGGAGCTGATTCCCGGGGTGCCCGCGGGTCTTAGTGCGCACGCCGTCCAGGGGGCCAAACAAACCTGAACACCCTCGAGCATTGCTTGCGCTGCCTGTGCTTGTCCAACCACGCCCGCCCAACGCCGATGGTGGAGGAGGGGGCTCGGGCTCATCGCGGGCGGCCCCAGACTGGTCGCGCGCAGGCCAAGCGGGCAGCACATGGGCAGCAAACGCAGTAACTTCACGGCAGACCGAAAAGGGCACCAGGGAGCCAGGCTTCTTGCTCGGCGGCAAGTCTGAAGTGACTATGGTAAGTCAAATAGCATCCGATTCCATGGGAAGCGGATGGCAAATAGCGTCCGGTGCCGTACTGTGGTGGTTCAGTAAGGGGAATGGACGGATAAGATAGGATAAGATCGATGTAGTGATCTTTCCAGCACGTAGCGAACACTAGCAGTGTCCGGGCAAATAGGGCGCGCGTGCCTAGAGCCAAAGGCAACGGCGCGCGAGCTATACTCCCGATCCTATATAACATCTCCCAAAGAGCTACCCTTAAAGTCGGGAGGGGAGGAGACGGTGAGTATAGCCGCGCAGCCGTTAGGCTCTACAAAGGCCACGCGCACGACTGTTTGCAAGAAAAACAGTGCGTACAGTCTGGCCTAACACCAGACTGTAAGGCGAGTTTCCTCGCGAAGCATTTCACGCATACGCAAGATAGCCCCTTGGACATCAAAGGGCTATCGGCCCGGCTAGAGGTAAACCAAACAGGCTATACCTCTCCGAGAAAAAGGGTATTAAAGCAAAGAGCCTGAATCAATCTAAACAGGCTCGTTACCAAGCGTGAAAAGTAAGGCTCGTCTCCGAGCAACTAGGAGGGCGCCTCTGTATCAGGCGCCCATGCTGGCAGACTGGACCGCGGGGGCAACAAGGACAGACTAAAACTGATTTGACTTAGGCTTGTTTCTGTCCTCAGGACCCCGAAAGGGTACAAACTGCTTCACGTCATACTTAAAAAATGACTGAGTACCTGACATCACCTCCAAAAGCAGCTCCCGATCGATACTCCCCTTTGTATGCCCATCTGCGGTCATGTCTCTAGTATTGCACCACTGCACGTTATGCACTATACCTATATCCATGAGCTCACGTATCCAGCTGATATGTCCCAGCAAAGTCCGTTCCGTCGGTATCTTAAGATCTTTGCTGGATAGCGATTTGTACATAGACTCAGCGTCTATGGTACGGGTTACTTTGATAGCTAGGCCTCCAACTTCACGCACATCTCGTAGTTGTCGTGGAGCCAGGGCCCCTGCCTTGAGCTCGTGGAGAGCGATAAGCGTAGGGTAACAGTCATCAAGGTTGTGTGCAGCTGCAAGTGCCTCAGCGGCATAGCTGGATCTCACCTGCAGTCGGTGTGATTTACATAGTCCGTCGCAAAGGTGGATGACGGATTTGCCTTGAGGCGAGTTTCCTCGCCGTAATACATTAGCCCCACGTATGCCGTAGCCCTTAGTCTCATCGTCTTCCTCCCCGGTGAGCTTCCGATGCCCCGAATCACGGTGTATATCTACTTCGCTCGTCGGTTTCATCCGAGGGAAGGTGATGCGTTTCGGGCTGCTGATCAGCTTTCGCGTCACAGCATTCAGCCGTCTGACTTGTAAGTTGGTGGGCTCTTGAATCTTCTGGACAGAGACCACGTGCACCATAAGCCAGACTTGAGTAAGAAGGGTATAGGCGAGAGCTCCTCGCAGGCTAACGAACATGTCGGCGATGAGTTTGGTAGCTTTGGCGTCAGCCGCCGCTCCTGTAAGTTCGGGGTGTTAGGACGTAGTTGTTTAATGTACTCGTCCTGATCCATGATCACATCCCCTTGGTCATTCTTAGTGTAGCGAACGGCGAAGTTCGTATAATAATGTTTGTTGAGCTTGCATTTACCAAACACCTTTTCGACACGTGGTACATAGTCATCTACATTTGTCTCTAGGCCTGTCATGTTGATGTCGTCGACATGTTTTGCTGTTAACAGAGCTTGACTGAATTCAAATTCAGGATCGTAACATGTCGGTGTGAGGCCTATAGCTCGTGTGGTCGTACGAAGCTTGAGGGAGACCGCTCTTGGGGCGTCCTTTGTGCCCGTCCCTGGCTTGAGGCACCCGAGGCAGTGTCGGCTTTCATCGTAAGAAGAGAAGCCTGGCAGTGTACGAAACACCTGGGCGCTTCCTGGTAGAAGAGCGAAGCAAACCATGCGAGTTTCCTCGCCGGTGGCATGAGCAAGTTCCTCATAGGTCAGACCTTTGAGGAACGCTTTGTCGATGTCCATGGATGCTAAGATCCATTCTGGATGGCACGCCGCCTCACTTGCCAGGAGCCTCTGGGACTGCCTCGAGCTGTGCAAGTTGGGTCTGATCTAACACTACCTTTGACATTTCTGGAGTAAAACATAACTCAACATAAGGACCATGTTCATCACTGTCAAGAGAATAGCCCTCGTCAGGTGTGGTTGAGCATCGAGAGATAAGACAAGGCTCTTGTGGTTCAGGCTCGTCTCCGAGCATTTCCGACACTACGATATCTTCTTCGTCCACGGATGCTGAGACCAGAACGCATTGGTCGGGCAGCATAGTTGTTGGGACGCAGTAGAGATGATCGTCGGTAACCGTTGTGGGATGAAGGTCCATACGTAACTCATCGTACCACTCCTCCATCATCATAGCTTCGATGTCATGTTCCTCGTTTTATGCGTATATTGTAGACAGGCGGCCTTCACTTGGTGATGAGGCACCTGGGGTGTCTGGTGGAGGCCTGTCTCCAGGCTGGTCGTGTTCTCCAGGCGCTGTGCCCGAGTGCTGATACTTGGCAAGGTCGTCATGAAATCCTATGGAAGGAACATGTGAAGTCAAGCACTGGATGAGTCTGGAGTGAGTGCTACCAGTGATTTGAGAGATGTTCAGGCCGGTGCCCACGCACTCATAATAGTGGAAGGCTGGGTTGACATCGCTGTCGTAGTGGATCAGTGTAGACCTGGTGGCGTACTTTACTGCGGGAAAAATTAGACACGCTCTTGGCCAGTCTAACTGCTACTACACGTTCAACTCGGGAATAATTTCGCACGAGATACTGTAGTGCAAGATGCACGCGCGGGTGAAACTTGCTGTCGTCCGAAAGATTGAGGTTTCCCTTGTAGTCTGGGATATAGCCAAAGACTTTGGCAAGTTTCCCTGCGCCAAGATGTGCCACATATGTAAGGACGGTTTGCATGGCCATGTTGTCCATGCCAAGTTCCCTGGCAAGGAGGCATTCAATGTATAACGTGTGACAAGCATCAGGATACATTACAATTACACCGCGTGATCCTGCCTTGACGACGACGTGTCCTCGTCCAGGCACGTTACGGATCACAGGAAACGGGCCATTCCAGCCTCCATGATCGTCCTTAGTGGCGGTAGGTCGGTGATAGTCGACCAAGTCCCCTGCTGAGTAAAGGCGAGCACCATCTGGGGCCGTTTTAGCCCTGAGAGCACGATTTGTCTTAGCTACCGCCGTGGCTTGAGTTATTGCTTCCAGGCTAACTTCCCCCACGCGGCGTTCTCGTTCGT